CCCCCCCCCAGCCTTCCTTAATTACCCAGACTGGCCCCACCAGGTGTGAGCACCCCGACCCTGGGTCCCAGAACTGAAAATCAGGATCAGGGAAGTGAAGCAGGTGCGGTGGAGGGGGGCACCTCTGCTGACCCCCGCGAGGGGCTGGCAGGCTGGCTGCGGGCAGGACGTGAGCTCTGCCTGCACCCTGCAGGCACCACGCCTTTAAATAGAACCTCTGCGCTGGAGGACAAGCACATTCCGGGCGCTTTTCAAACCGCCCGAAGCAGGACCTGGCCAGCAGCCTCCGCCCTCGGCATTTTCCCGGTCTTGCTCCAATTCTGGATATAATATTAATAGCTCGGTTAAAAGCTCCCGGTCCGCAAAATACACTATGGCCTTAAAAGGCAGGAATTATAGCCGCCCTCACACTCCAGATGAGGAAACTGAGGCCCGGGGCGCTCCCGGGCTGCAGGCCAAACAGCCAGGTCTCTCCACCCTTCCTCCCGGTCACCGCCGTCGGGCTCACGCGGCGGGTCGAGTGACCCCCCGCGAGCCCCGTGCCAAGTCCGCCGGGCCCCGACCGGCGCCTCAGGCCCAAAGGCAGCAAGGGGGGAAGCTGACAAGGCGACTCCCCGGAGACTGCCGAGACCCGCGCCTCACGAAACCCCCAGATCCTTTGCAACGAGTCTCACAACGCCCAGTTCTCGGCCAGGGCTGGTACCGCCGACCCTGCGCGGTGGCCAGGCTCGCCTCCGTTTGTTTTAAAAGCTAAAGGACAAAAGGGCCCAATGTCTCCCTTGGGAGATGAAGATAAAGCTGGCAGGTGAGGCGCGGCGCCTCTGCGTTTCCTAGAAGTTGCGCGCGGAGCGACTCTCGCAGGGCGTCGGCAGCAGCGGGGAGCAGCCCGGGGACGGGGCCGGCGCCCGGCTCGGCCGCCCGGGGTTACGCTGAAGATCGGCGAGGCAGAGCTGCGGCTCCAGCTCCTCCTCGAAGCCCAGCCCGGCGGGGTCCCCCCACCGTCCAGGACAGACTCGCGCGCGGAAGGCGCAGGGGCGCCGGGTCAAAAGCAAAACGCCCCGAACCTCTGCACCCGCCCTTCGCAGCCCGCCGAGGCCGCCCGGGACTTCAGGGCGGAAAGCGCGAGCGGCGGCCACCTGCGCCTCCCTCCCGGTCGGGGTGCGGGGCCCTCGGGGCGCGCGGCGCGGGGCGCTCACAGTTTGAACATGCTCTCCAGGTCCTTGATGAGGCGGCGGCTGAACTCGGGGAACTCGGTGTAGGGGTTGAAGACCTTGCAGCGGCGGGGCTGCGCCGCGCCCTCGTTGATGTCCAGCCGGCGGCTCAGCTGCGCGCTCAGCTCGGCGTCCGCGCTGGCGGTGGGCGCGCGG